CGAGTCATGCGGCATCCTCGGTATCTGTGTAACAAGTCCCTTTCCCTTGGGGAGCTGGAACAGGCCCCTCCTGTCATTTGCAGGGGCTACATTCCTAAATGAAGAGGCATCTGGGAAAGCTCAGCCCAGGCCTTGCATGTCCATACTGCACAAGGCTGCAAGGCAAGCAGACTCTGCGTTTGGATGCATGTGGACTCGTGCACCATTTATATAGCTGTGAGGACTGCTTCACACACAATGCTGCCCAAGCACACACACACACACACACACACACACACACACACACAAACGGAGAATCAACAAAGATTTGGGATGAGGTTATTAAAGCAAACAAAATACAGTGGTACCTCGGGTTAAGTACTTAATTCGTTCTAGAGGTCTGTTCTTAACCTGAAACTGTTCTTAACCTGAGGCACCACTTTAGCTAATGGGGCCTCTGCTGCTGCGCCGCCGCACGATTTCTGTTCTCATCCTGAAGCAAAGTTCTTAAACCGAGGTACTATTTTTGGGTTAGCGGAGTCTGTAACCTGAAACGTATGTAACCTGAAGCGTATGTAACCCGAGGTACCACTGTAGTAGCAGGGATAAATGGAGACCTACTAGTCAGATTTCAGAGAAAGAGGGTACGCTTGAGGTGGGGAAACAAAAAGAAAAACCATGCAAAAAAAAATTTCAAAACTGAGAAAAACCAAAATGAATAGACTTGTCCATCCCTATTTTCTCAGATGCTATATTTCATATGCAGGCACCTGCCAGCATTATCCATAGGGGAGCAAAAAAGAGGCAAGTCATACTTTCAGGGGAGACAATTCTCCTCCCAGAGCTACAGTTTCCAGAGTGGTTAGACAACCAGTCCCTTTTCATAGGAATTTTGAGAACTGTAGGTCTGTGGTGGGAACGGGGGGCTCCTAACCACTCTCAGTACTCTTAACAAGCTACAGCTTTCATGATTCTGTAGGATAAGTCATGATTGTTTAAAGTGGTATCATAGTGATTTACATGTATTGTGTGAATGTGGCCAGAATGGGAAGGGCTTCCTCTTTGTACCTTGGAGATGCTGTGTGCACACACGCAGTCATTCACAGAGCTGGTCTTCTAGGCTACCCAGCAGATGCATCACATCTGGGCCCCTCACAGCACTTGATTCCCATTATGCTTAAGGACTGTCAGTTGCCATAACTTTAAAACAAAATAATCTTGCTGCAGAAAACCCAGCCAAGAGGTACCTTTGATCTTCCGATAGAAATTAGTTCAGGAGGCATGGACTTAATGGAGGCTCTTTAGCCCTGGGTGCCAGATGTTATCATAGTATGGATTTTGTCTGTAATTAAAATAACCGCGTTTCATTTAAGGTTAGCTTACTTGGTGTATGAGTGTATTTAAAAAAACAACAATAGCCCACTCTGTTTCTTTTTTAATCATATTTATTTTATAATGGATAGGTTCTGCATAGCTGGGGTTTTAATGTTACATAGCGGAAATATAATAATCATTATCACTTGGTATAGATCAGGCATAGGCAAACTGTGGCCCTCCAGATGTTTGGGACTACAATACCCATCATCCCTAGCTAACAGGATCAGTGGCCAGGGAATTGTAGTCCCAAACATCTGGAGGGCCGGGATTTGCCTGTGCCTGGAGTATAGATCATGTGGCTCATGTGCTAGTGGTACTCCAATCACGGGCTCCATGCATCTGCTCCAGCCCTAACTGAACACATCTGCCTACCCTGGCCTCAGGTTTCCTCTACCATAGCTATTTCAAAAAAACGCATTGCAAATAAATATAAAAGTATCAATTAAATTGCTTCTCTGACTGTACTCATACATATCCAGAACAATGACAGAAAGTCAATAGCATCCAGGCACTTACCCACAGTCTCAGAAACTTGTGAGTCCACAGAGAGAACTAACTTAAGCCCTTCCCAAACAGTATGCAAAGCTTCCATTGAAGACTGGGCCTTAGAACTATCAGAGAATCTAAACGGCAGTCTCAGGTTTTCAGCACATTCCCTCTCAAATACATATTTGATATCTATGTGTAATGTTATTGTATTGTTATATTGCGATACCTCATGGTTGCTTCCAACGGTACCATTCTACAATTCTATGAAATGGGGAGCTAAGGCTGAGAACAAGTAACTTGGCCAAGGCCAATGGCAGAAAATCAGTAAACACACATTTCACCCATTATCCTAAGAGTGCAGTTCCAAAGGTGATAAGGGGCACCATCCATACAAAATGGGTGGAAGGTTACAAAACCTTGTGTTTTATGGGCTACTAATAGGCACTGTGCTTGTGAGCCACACATCTGGACAGTATGCATATTTGAAAGAAATAACTATCAAATCAGCTATCGCTGCCCTGGTCCACAGTGTATACTTTAAAATTTGTAAACTTTGTCAGTGAAATAGCACACATTCAACAGTTTGTATTTGAAACACAAATACAGTACTGTAAGTACATGGCCATAGTTATCCATGTTCTGGAAATATCTTGCTTAGGTTACCCTAATGTCATGTTATTAGAGCTGCCTTTGAAACATGCTTAGAAATTTCTGACAGCATAAAATCTAACAGTCAGATTACTGTCTGGGACTAGTCAAATCTTCCTAGTTCTGAAACAATTGCCCCAGCTGCAACTCCATTTCTGAGAACAGTTCAAAGTGTTGGCACTTACCTAAACAACTGAGGATCTGCGTCCATGAAGGACTGCCTTCTCCCCTGCCCAAGTATTAAGATATTATTTGCAGGCCTTTCTCCAAGTCCCCCACCACTTCTGAAGTGAGGTGCGTGATGACCAAGTCAAACCTCTGGTTATCTCCTGCTTGGACTACTGCAATGCGCTCTACGTGGGGCTACCTTTGAAGGTGACCCGGAAACTACAACTAATCCAGAATGCTGCAGCTAGACTGGTGACGGGGAGTGGCCACCGAGACCATACAACACCAGTCCTGAAAGACCTACATTGGCTCCCAGTACGTTTCCAAGCACAATTCGAAGTGTTGGTGCTGACCTTTAAAGCCCTAAACGGCCTCGGTCCAGTATACCTGAAGGAGCATCTCCATGCCCATCATTCAGTCCAGACACTGAGATCCAGCTCTGAGGGCCTTCTGGAGGTTCCCTCACTGTGAGAAGTGAAGTTACAGGGAACCAGGCAGAGGGCCTTCTCCATAGTAGCGCCCACCCTGTGGAACGCCCTTCCATCAGATGCCAAGGAAATAAAGAACTACCTGACTTTTAGAAGGCATCTGAAGGCAGCCCTGTTTAGGGAAGTTTTTAATGTTTGATGTATTTATTGTGTTTTTAATATTCTATTGGGAGCCACCCAGAGGGGCTGGGGAAACCCAGCCAGATGGGTGGAGTATAAATATATCCTTCTCCTTCTCCTCTGTTGTGGCACCTCAGTTCTGCATTATTTGGGGAGGATTTATACTACCTTACAGGGCCAAAGGCGGTTCACAATTTAAAACATAAAACAGCAGCAGTTATATTATACATATACATGGCAATATTCCATTAAAAACAAATTAGAAAAGTGAAGGTGTTAAGGCCCATTTTGAAAGAGCCAGAAGGGGAATCAAACATACATCCTGCCGGTAGGACTTCCAGAGGGACCCATGTCCTTTTGGCATCAGGCATTTTAGATCTCCTGATTTTTAGACCTTGATTTCTCATTGTGTTTTATGCTGCTAGTGTTCAATCATTCTCTTTACTGTGTCTGGAGTGTTTTCAATATGCAAGCTGCTTTCAAGGTCTTTTAGACTAGCTCACCCAAATCTGGTACCTCTGGGCAGGGGAAAGGCTGTTATAGACTGTAGGCAAAAAAATACGTACGTAATAAATAAATAGACAGCTATCTCTTTAAAGACGCATGGTTTCTCCACCCCCACCCCTGCACATACTTTCCACCTCCTACACAGGTCCCCAAATTAGTGCTTCCCTTGAAATGCAAATAGCAGCTTCTGAGAGGTTTCTACTGGGATCTTGGCAGGGAGAAAAAGAGGGAGTGAGTTAAATATCTCCTCCCCACTTGCATGGCTCAGAAACTGCTTGGGTTCTTCTTCCCCCCACTTTTACAATACAAAAACATGTTAACTGCCTATACAGAATTACATCTTGCTTCACCTTCCAGTGGCTTTTAGCTCTTCATCTCTTCTGACATATCAACACAAAAGTATTTGAAGCCCAGTGGGTGTAAAAGCTACTGAATAGAAAAATTGCTTTGTAGCTAGTTGGACCATTGGTCAATCTAGTCAGCATTGTCTACTTGTGGGATGTAAAACTGCAGTCAAGTACAACATTCCTACAGTGGACATGTTAGGGGATGTTTTGTACCACTCAGGAGAAGACTTCCTGTTTCCTCCTGAGCTGGGACAGACTTCCACAACATATGACTTGAAGAGGGTCTGTTGTACTAGCATGGAGGAGCACACGGCCTCCATGTTCTGATAAGTGTGTGTTTTCCATTTTGTATGTTGTTGTGTGTTTGGAGAAGTAACTGCATAGTTGCAGTCACTTGGGACTAACTTTATGGAATAGTTCTAGTTGTTATGTAACCTAAGCCTGCCTTCAGAGGTATGTCTGTGAACCTGAATGAATCTGTGAGTAAACTACTTTTATATTAACATTAATCAGATTCTTGTGTTTATTCTTTTTAAGAGGGATTAGAAGGGATTTTACCAGGAAGGAATCTTTAATAGTAAGACTCAGATGAGTCAGCAACAAGCTGCGTAATTTAAAAAGGGGGGGTGTTTGGAACTCTGCTAGAATATGGAACTTGCTAGTGCAAGTTAGGAAGGATATGATTAAATAATATATCCTCTCCTGCCTCCCTAATTATCCCCACACTACTGTGTTGTCTGGAAGGAGCTGGGGCTCTTTAGTTTCTGACAGGGGTGTTTGTCTTCCCTACGTGCAGCTAGAATCAAAGAATCATGGAATTGTAGGCCTAGAAGGGACCACAAGGGTCATCTAGTCCACCCCCTTCAATGCAGGAATCTTTTGCCCAACATGGGCCTTGAACCCCCAACCCTGAGATTAAGGAGTCTCATGCTCTACCAACTGAGCTATGTCAAAATTAGGTATACACATGATGTAAAACTGATCGTGGACTAGCATTATAAAACACTGGCAGCGTTGCCATTTTCGTTCCCAACCTTCAAGTCTGTTTTCCGATTTACTTAAGGACTCCTATAAATCCAGATGGCTCCAACTCATACACAGCAAAATTAGATCTATTGGTATTGGCTTGGAATTATTGTATAATTCTAGTGAGCAATATATTTATCGCAATATCCAAATTAGATTAAGGGATATTGAAAAACAAAACATTGAGTCAGCTATAAATTAAATCTGCTCCCCCAAGTTCTATGGTTTAAATACAACTGATAACAGTATCACTTATATCTCAAAGTTAATAATTCCAGCCCAACACAGGGCATTTATGTTAGCCCGACTGAATGTTTTCCCCTCAGCTTTTGTTAAGGGCAGATATTTAAACATCCCTAGAAATGATAGACATTGCGGATGTTATTTGAATGTGCTGTACACTGTAGAACATATTCTTTTCTACTGTCCACTGTACAACCAGCTACGTAAATGCGTGTTATCCCCCATTTTGGGTAGTTTAACATCATGGCACAATGAAAATATCAGATTCCACTTGTCTGATATTAACCCAGAGGTAACTGCAAGGGTGGCTGAGGTTCTGTCAACAGTATCTCTTAGAGTGGTGAATGGCATGGTTTAGCGGAAGACATTCCAGTGAAAATTTCTGTTACTATATATCTTATATGGCTGCTTCTTTGTATATATTTTTAAAATTTTGTATATGGATGTTTTTAGATGGTCTATATCTGTAATGCCTAATAAAGGTTTGGAGACAGAAAGAAAAGAAAGAAAGCTATGCCAGAGATTAAAGCCAGGACCCTTCTGTATGCAAAGCAGATACTCTGCCACTGAGCTACAACCACCCCAGAGGTAAAGGACCCCTGGATGGTTAAGTCCAGTCAAAGGCGACTATGGGGTGTGGCGCTAATCTCGCTTTTCAGGCCAAGGGAGCCAGCGTTTGTCCGCAGACAGCTTTCTGGGTCTTCTGGCCAGCATGACTAAACCGCTTCTGGCACAACAGGACACCGTGACAGAAGCCAGAGTGCACAGAAACGCTGTTTACCTCCCCACCACAGTGGTACCTATTTATCTACTTGCACTGACGTGCTTTCGAACTGCTAGACTGGCAGGAGCTGGAACAGAGCAACGGGAGCTCACCCTGTTGCACGGATTTGACCCAACCGTTGAACTTCTGATCAGCAAGCCCAAGAGCCTCAGTGGTTTAGACCACAGCGCCACCCGCGTCCCATCCCAGAGGTAAACAAAGAAATTGTTAAATAAAAGTTTGATTTATATGGGGGTGGGGACAAGCATTAAAAAACAATAATTTAACTAATCAGCTTTGTTGTTGGCATTCGTCTGTCTCCAAAGGAGAACCAAAGTTGGACAAAATACCCCAGAAGGAACACAACACGTTCCCACCAGGGGTACCACCCCTCTGCTAACACCTCTTACACCCCACTAGTCAACTACTTTAGGTTTTCACTGCTGTAGGACACAGTCTAAAGACGTAAAAGTTACAAAAAGCCTTGCTTGGAGCATCTGTTTTGAATATCTCACTCTGCTTGCAGTATTTATTTTGAAGATCTCACTCAGGAACCTTGATCAGCTAAGACAGCAAAAAAACAACTCAGAGCTGTTAGAAAACCCTATTCCTTTCCTAGGAACGGAATTATTTGATTCAAAGTGATGTCACTTCTGCCCATATGGGGCACTGTAAATCTCAAGCACTAAGCACTATCCTTAGGTCTATATGAGAAGAGCATCTCTACTAAAATCCTTTTTCCTCAGTAGATCAGAAAGCTACCTTGGTATAGTGGGTTTTCGCTGGCATTGAAATACCGTTGTGTCACTGTTTCATTACACTAGCATATGCACTCTGCTGGCACCACACCACCAGTCAGAACAGAAAAAAAGAACGGTGTTTGGGGCATGGCAGGGGAAGAACAGAGCTTAGTTGATATCCTATGCTTGTTCAGTTCGGTTTGAAATCGAGTTCCAGAATAATGCCAAACAGGAGGTTAAATGAATTATGCCCATTGAAAACAATGCAGGGCTACAGACAGCTCCCCTGCTCTCTTGCCGTGGCCACAATGGAGGAGAACAAACAATCCTACTGAATCATCAACAAATCATAGGACACCATCAGCATTAGCCATGAACTTCTGGGCAAAAGAACTGAGAAGAAACCCATGCACACACAGTTATTAGATTGTGTACATTGCATGTACATTTGCATGCAATGACAATACATACGGATAGGAGACAATGGCGCATCACTGGCAAATACAGGTGCTGCTGATTTCTGCTGCCATTTTACCAGCACCAGGCAACGCGCATGGGTGCATGCAGGAGCGCATGTCACAGCAAAATAGAGACAAGGTGGTCTAAAGGAAGGGATGCAGAGAAACAGCTGACAGCTGATGAAATGCTTTCATAAAAGTACCCTTCTCCTTCCCCACTTTTCCCCTATGATTATGCCTTAATGATCCCAAACATTGTGATTGAAATCGGTGAAATCCTTTAAAAAGAGAGGAAGAAAAAAAAAGGGGGGTGGGGAACAAAACATTAAAATCTTGCATTTTTAACTCTTTTAAAAGCAATGTATAGTGTGTTGTTGCTTCTTCATAACCTACACAGCTAATAGCATGATTACCTAGCTACATTTCCCTGAGGCATCCCCTGCAACTGCTTGCTACCAACTGTCAGCCTCTTTCATGAAGATTCCATCTGACTCTTCACACACACACACACACACACACGCACACACACAGAGAGAGAGAGAGCTAATCCGCCAAAAGGCGGGAGGGAATTACTTGGATGGCGGAGCTTGCTCAGCCACCAACAAAGAGGCACTTTTTGGTTGGCTTTGTCTGAATCTGGCCTTCATCTCTGTTTCTAGGGCAACCAGGAAGTTCACCTCCTGGCCCGGATGTAGCAAAGGATGCAGCCGGAGAGCAGGGGAGGGGGAATGGCAGAGAGAGAAACTGTTCAGCCAGCCTCCAGCTGAATAGTGTTGGGGGGGGGGAGCTGTGGGTTAAATTGTCATAAGAGGACTCTGATGGGTTTTAAGAAATCTCTCTTCACACTCAAAATCTCCCTCCCCACCTCGTTAAATTCCTTGAAGACTCTCAAACCAACTTCCTCCAGCTTGCCTTTGCTTCACATTTGCACCCAAATTGGACTTATCCAAACTTGCCTTGTGGATATATGTGTGTGTGCATGCGTGCCTGACATGGAACAAACAGGCCTTTGTTCGGCAGAGATCCACTGGCTTTGTCAGTTATCTCAAAAGGCGAGGCTGTCCCTTTAATGATCATCTCCACTCAGACCTTAGGAAGGAAGTTCCACACATGTTCATTGCAGAGAGCCAGCCAGTCACTGTGCCAAACTAGAGCCACATGCGCATCAGCGAGGAAAAGGAGAGCAGGATGCGATGTGAATGGGAACCAGGAAAAATCAGCCTCACTGGCTGAATACACAAGGCACTGGCACACTTTTTTTTTTCATCTGCTGAATTCTGAATAAATTACTGTGAAAATGTTTAGGCTGACAAGAGATCAAGAAAAGTAGGAGAGGCACAATGTTCTCAGTAGCTAAGAACGGATCCATAACCAAGAGTAGAGGATAAGGAGGAGGAACCATGGGGAGGAAGAACAAACAATCTGGATATGAATGCCTTGACTCCACACACCCAGGATCTTTGAGCTGTGTTCCCTTTGGTTTCTCGCTTTCGCCAAAACACTTCCAAAGTTTCTAACTGAATGATGAGTGTTACGGACATTCTCCGTGCCGTTGCTGCTGTTCAAATAAAGCCAGTGCTCTAGCACGCAGTAGATTTTGGATTCAGGTAGTCCAGCCTTTCTCAGGCATGCGAGACATAACACAGACCTGCCTGCAGTGCGCACTGAAGGATTCTGGTCTCTGCACATGGTAAGCAGCAGCACATTACAGCCAAAGATGGTTTCTCTGGGCCTTGGCCATTCCAGTTCGTGTCATGATCTTACATGTGGTTTACAGATGTTAGATAGCATTGTTGTGGAGTATGGAACACTGTTAGAAACTGCTCTGGCTTGCTCCAGAGGCAGCCACATCTACACTTGCATAATCTCTGGAGATACTCTTTTTTTGGTTCTAAGTCTAAGAGTTGGTGTAGCATACCGGAGCCAGTCAGTCTCTGGTTCAAATCTCACCAACACCACGAATTTACCAGCAGAGCAATCCTACACTTGACTTGCACATTCTGGACTGGGACAGGGCCACAACTAAATCCAATTGCTCTGGTAAAGCAAAATGTTATATAGTACTGCTACTTTTGTGCTGGTAGGAAACTGCCACTTGACATGAGCAAAAAGGGATTGAGCTTGGGGGAGGACTTCAGGGGAGGATCAGAGTGCCACTCCCTACATATTACTGGAATTATTCCATGACCTAAGCTTAAAGCTGGATCTCTAATTGTACACATCAGGAGTGGCCCTTAAGTGGCTCAGGAACGCAATAGCTCAAGGACCACCTCTCCCCATATAAACCGCCCTGGACTCTGCATTCATCATATGAGGCCCATCTTCATGTCTCCTCCACATGACATCCAGAAGGTGTCAACATGAGAACGGGCCTTCTCTGCAGTGGCTCCTCACTTGTGGAATGCTCTCCCCAAGGAGGCTCGCCTGGCGCCTTCCTTATATATATATATTAGGTGCTAGGCAAAAATGTCCCTTTTCAACCAGGCCTTGGGCTGATTAATATTCTATAAGCTTTCAAATGTGTTTGTGGGAGGGGTGGTTATTGTTTTGCTGTCTCTGTTTTAACTACTCATTTGTGCTTTTGTCTTGCATTTCTAGCTTGTGAACTGCCCTGAGATCTTTTGATGAAGGGTGGTATAGAAATAAATAAATGTCAACCAATTGGGGGGGGGGGTCCAGGAAGCTAGGCTGAGGGGTGCAGACCAAAAGAGCACTTGACACCCTCTCAAGTGCTCACCAGCAAACTTGGAGTGAGCAGCAAAGCAGCCGCAGGAACCACCTGTTGTGATGACTCATTAACACCCCAGCATTTCACTTTGTCTTCCCACAGCAGTTCAGAATGTGCAGAGGTGGGTTATTCCCCACCCCTAGTGCCATGTGAGACCTAAAAGACCAGCAGCAGTGGAAAAGCAACTGCTCCTGTGTAGGATTGCCTCCTGCTTTCTGTTCTTTCATTTTTAAACCCAGGCTCCCTAGTCCCTCCAACAGATGGTCATGTTAAGTAGTCCAGCAGGACCTCCAGGTCCTATGCATGTAGTTCTTCCTCAAGCATAGGAGGGCAAGTACAAGGGCGGGAAACCTTTTGCTGCCTTATGCTGTGTCCATTGCTCCATCTAGCTCAGTCTGGTCCAGGACTGGCTGGTGCCCATTGGGGCTGATGGAATTGACGGCAGGGAGGCCAACACTAGGTGGAAGCAAAGCCAATGACTGGTGGAATTCTACTTTCCCCCTGCTCCTCTCCCCAGCTGATTTCTACTAGGCCAACGCTGAGACTAAGGAGAAGGAAGCAGATAACAAGGGCATCCTTTTGGACTCATTGTAATTATGAAGGCTGGTAGGCTTGAAATAATCAAGGTGGTGAGGCAATGCCCCATTTGCCCTAGTAGATCAGTCTTCACTGGTCTTGTCTACACAGATTGGCAGCGATTCTCCAGGATTTCAGACAGGGGGATCTACTTAGGACTCAGATATACAGCTGCAAATATAATGTCTTAAGTGTGCTTTATGTGCATTATACAAATGTGACACTAGATGGGGCTGATGAGGTAATGGCAAATTCCATATATATTTTACAACTTTTTAAAAAGCATTTTCACAGTGTGGTTTTTTATATCTGTGTAGATTCAGCCCTAGAAAGGCTAGAGATTGAACACAAAACCTTCTGCATACAAAGCAGATGCTTTATCACTGACCTACAGTCCTGCCCTTGGCTAGCTGGGCAGGGCCAGAGGCAAAAGTGTGGGGGGTAAGAGCTGTGACTGCTACTGTTGTGCTGTGGGCTACATTCCAGTCATGCACAAGTCAGAGGTTTCTACAAACACACACTTATCTCTTCATCCTCCACGCAAGCAAGCAAGAGGCATTATCACAGTTCGAAGACAAATTCAGGTTGAACAGCTAAGGTGGATTTGGTACATTTGTGTATCAAAGGGCTGCCAAAAGAAATTGCACTGGATAGCAATTGCTTGACCCAGTGTAATGGCATGGTGGGGCTATACCACTCACCTGACCTCCTTCCGGCTGGGTTGCTATTGTATCCTGGGATGGGGAGGGGAGGGGTGAGGTGGTGGTAAGATGCAAACATGCTTTCAGGAGCATCAAGTTTGTTCCACCAGTGCGCTTGAGTTTGCCACAGCCTCGCCCCTCCCTGTGCCAGTATGTGCAGCGATTCAGCCAGAGGGAGGTCAGGTCAGTGGCATAGCCCCACCCTGTTGTCTGCTACTGCGTATAACCTCACTGCAAACAAATCAAAACGAATGTTCTGTAAGCAGCTGATAGCCTATAACCACCCCACAAACTTTATGCAAACAAATCAGGATAAATACTCCTCTGGAATCCACTTCTGTATAGCTCAATCTGTAGAACATGAGTCTCTTAATCTCAGGGTTGCGGGTTCGAGTCCCACACTGGGCAAAAAGATTCCTGCATTGCAAGGGGCTTGGATTAGACAACCCTCGTGATCCCTTCCAACTCTACAATGCTATGATTCTATTATTCTGGCTGATTCTGTTTAACGTGTCTTTATGCGTTTAAGCAATAGGTGAGGCAAACTAGTTTGTTGAATTTACTATAGTTTCTAAATTCCAGTTCAATGCCTGGAAGCCCTGCTTAGACTAGATAATCTCCTAGTTGACAACAAGAAGAGTCAAACTAGCCATGATGTTAATTGCATGAATGTCATTAAGGTGCGCTTTGATATACATAGCAGCTGCAGGGAGGCCTGGGAAGGCTCCAGACCCTGTGGGTGGGTGTAGAGGGGAAGCTTAACTCTTTCTCTGCCTGCCACAGTCCTTACAGGGAAAGGCCATAGCTCAGTGGAGACCATGTGCTTTGAGGGCAGATGGTCTCTGGTTCAATTCCCAGTATCACCAGTTAGGGCTAGGAATGTTCCCTACCTGAAACCCTGCAGAACTGCAGCCAGTCAGTGTAGACAATACATGGGTCAATGGGCCAACTCAGTGTAAGGCAGTTTCCTATGACAAAATGACCCCTCCCAATTTGTGACTAAAATTTCAAGGGATGGTCTCATTTGCAGCACTGGGACCCCCACCCCTGCAACAAAAGGCCCCCCCAAAACCCCATGTTAATTATGTTCATGCATTTAATGTCAAATCTTGTTTGACTCTGAGACTGTAATCATATGCACACTTACATTGGAAGCGTAATTAAACACAGTGAAACTTCCATGCATAGGTTTGTGCTGTTCCATGCACACTTACCAGGGAGTAAGTCCGATCGAAATCAATAGGACGTGTTTCTGAAAGCATGTTCAGTGTCATGTGTTTGTGCTGCCTTCCTAGTTTCCAACAGAGGCATAGAAGCCTTGCAGTGAATTGCAGACTCAGTCTAGCGTATCCTAGGATAACACCATCAGAAACTGTGTTCTAAGAAAAGCAAATGAAGCAAAGAACATTCATTGCCAGATAGGTGCTAATTAATATTCCTGTGTATTTTTTCCAAGAGCTGATGAGGTATCTTGAAAAGCTCCCTGAAACAGTGTTCCATATTTATAAGCTTGCAAGTATCTGAGTTGATGGCATCTAAATATACTTCTTGTAATTAAAGCTCTGTGCTTAATTTCCCAACAAACCATGAACATTTCCCTGTAATATATACATATCCCAAGAGCTTTAAGGAGAGATGAACCAATACAGCCTGCTGGAATCTGGGAACTTTTGTGGAACTCAACTCGTTTCACATTTTAGGAGGACAAGCATTGCCCAGGCTGCAGCTGTTGGGAAAGCATGATGTGTGCTTAGAATGAGCAGAAGGAAGAAGACAGAGAAACGCTCTGATCCAGTGAAGGTAATGCAAATACAGAAGGTGGCCAGTGGAAAAAGATTCGCAGTTCCCAGCACCGAATCTCAGCATACAGTAGTGGGAATGAAGGACGAGAAGTTTTTGACATTGGGTTGGGCACTGTACATGCAGCGGCAAACATGTGGCTGGGGGCAGTATCTGCTTTGACTGCACCAAGTTCCTGTCTAGGGAGGAAAACTAAATCTGGGATACATTCTTTATTCCCACCCTATTAAATGGGTGGGGAGAATTCAGCCTTCTTTCACCTTCAGATAGCTGATCGGTTCTGTTACAGCTAACAATAGGGACGGCCCAATACATTTTGCTGTCTGAAATGAAGGACAAGATGGCACCCTGCCTTCTGCCATAACTGTCCCATGTATAGAACCTAACTGGACTGGCAGTTGAATCTTACATCGGCCCTGACAACTGGATAGACTCCTCCACCCCACCCAATGGTGCCGGGTGCATGCTGGGATCGGTGAGGCAAAAAGCAAGAAGGCCAACAGTAGGAGTAGCCAGAGCCAAGCACAGACAGAACCAAGTAATTCTGATTTTGTCCCTGTCTTCCTCCCTAATACATGGGCAAAACTGAGACTAAGGAGGAGAAAGCAATCCGCAAGGGCCACCCCTTTGGTTAAGGAGGCAGGAGGGCTTGGAGGAATGAAGATTGAAGTTGGTGCCACACTGCCCCATCTGCCCTATTGGACCAGCCTGCATTGACCACAGCTGAGGCCAGCAGCCTGGCTTTAAGAGTGTAGGACACACCACATAGCACAATGTGGCCACCAGTGTGCCACTGCCACATCTCACTCTCAGGGAGAGGTGGCTGCCTCATTCTGCCTACTGGTAGGGCCGGCCCTGGAACTGAACAACAGCATTCAAAGGCAGCCCACTTCTGCACATGTGTATTGCTGAATGGGGACAAAGGGATTAAGGAAAGAAACATGTGTAAGAATATGAGGTGTAGTATGAGGACTGAAAGGGAATTTACATGATTCAAAGAAAAGCCGTGGATCTGGGATCATAGCCTTATTATTATTAAACTTTTTATTATTTTAAACTGACTATTATTATTATTATTATTATTATTATTAACTGTTCTAATACTTAGTGCCTCTAAGAATGATTACCACAGATGCCAAGCACCAATTATACTTTTAAGAAGTTCACAGAGGTGATTGAGGCAACCCTGAAGATTTATTAGTATTAAATTATTGTTATTTCATTATTTTTGCTCATTTATTCATTGCTTGTTACATCAAAAGAGTCACAGTGTGACTTAAAAGCTTAAAATAAAAAAGACAAACACACAAAAATTAATCAGTTAAAATAATAAATGAACACAGAAAGTGTTCACCCATGGTAAAAAAGGTAAAGGTACCCCTGCCCGTACGGGCCAGTCTTAACAGACTCTAGGGTTGTGCGCTCATCTCACTCTATAGGCCGGGAGCCAGCGCTGTCCGCAGACACTTCCGGGTCACGTGGCCAGCGTGACAAGCTGCATCTGGCGAGCCAGCGCACCACACGGAACGCCGTTTACCTTCCCGCTGGTAAGCGGTCCCTATTTATCTACTTGCACCCAGAGGTGCTTTCGAACTGCTAGGTTGGCAGGCGCTGGGACCGAACGACGGGAGCGCACCCCGCCGCGGGGATTCGAACCACCGACCATGCGATCGGCAAGTCCTAGGTGCTGAGGTTTTACCCACAGCGCCACCCACGTCCCTCACCCATGGTAGCCAGTTGATAAGTGTTTTTTCTTCCCCACCCAACCAGGGTGTGCAGCCGGGGAGCTGAACATCAATGCTTAATTATATTAGGAGCTGGGAAACTCACTCCTGCCATTGGTATGTAATACCCACCAGAATTTAGAAAGGCGGTAACCCTCAGAGGTAAGAAGAACATTAGAGAAAGAGACTGGATTACATTTTGCAGTTTTAATTTGTGAGAGGGTCAGAGACAAACAAAAATAAAGAAGAAACCAGTCTCTGAGCCCCTCACATCCTTCCTCCCACCTCATTCCCCCTTTCCAGTGCTACTCTCTGCCCAGACCCAGCTGTTCTTTATCAGGCTTTCCCAAACAGTGTCACCAGCTTTGTGTATCTCTCTTCCACCAGGCCTTATGTCCTTCATCAGATGCCCATTTTTCTTCAGGCAGCTGTTCATTTTTCTTCTTGCATTCTGACACATTTTCAACCAGCTCCTAATCCATCTCCTGCCATTTACTTGAGCTGTATATTAATGCTTTCCTCCAAGCCTTCTCCTTCCCCCGGCCCCACCCCCAACCCCACTAGCCCTCACCCATCAGGAACAAGTACGCCATCAATAAAACATGAAATGTCAGCCTTCCATCATACCCTCCAAGTCCTCCTTCCCCTCTGCCAACATGTTGAGAAATCATTATACAGTAGTTGAGGAACACATGGGCAAAGGGCAATTGTGAGTAACTGGGTTGCCAGGTTTGTTTGGTTTTAATAAGACCCTCACCACTGAAAAGGTGGAATTGGGTGCAGACCCAAGTGGGTAGGGAGGGGTACACTTTACTGAGATCAAGGGAAGACCATTACCATGAGGGGAGAAACTGAAGCGGAATTGTAGGTTATGGCAACTTATTTTGCTGCCAAGATCTTGTGAGATTTGCTGGAGCCATTCAGAAGCAGAATTAGCAGGCCATTCTGAACAGCAGGTTGCTGGTCCAAGCCCTTTTCTAGAAGAGAAAGAGTGTGTTTGTGCTACTAGGATGTGTGGTTTGAGCAGCACAGAGATTTCTGCTTCCGCATAGGACATGCTCTGTCAAGAACTAGCAGTCCCAGAGTTCCTTACACATAGGCAAGTGGGATGGACCAAGGTCATAACAAACAGGGATATTAGGAATAGTAGGAGCCATTGCTTTGAGTAGGATTTGTGTGATTATACGTTTACTTCATACATAAATTTTCAATTAAGCGCGAATATGCTTACAGGTTTTTGCTCGTTCCATGTGAACTGTGGCAGAAGCCAAAAGAAGGTTCAGCAATCTAGCTGGTACTTGTCAAAAACTGCAGGAATTCTACTATGAGGCAAGAATGGTTAAGCCCAGTGCTATTTTTCTAGAAAAAAATGGTGCCAAAACTCATCATGAAGGCCTCCCTTGTTCTCTTCTAGTGACACCCACCTGAGAGGTGCTGGAACTGAGTTCCGGTGAGTTCCAGCTGAAAAAAAGCCCTGGTTAAGCCACCTAACTATTTTGTGTATCCGTGTGGGTGGACTTGCAAGTAAAACTGACTTTTTGGGGAGATCATGGTTTTGTAGTTTATTCAGTTCATAGCTGTCAACTTTTCCCTTTTCTTGTGAGGAATCCTATTCGGAATAAGGGAATTTCCCTTTTAAAAAAGGGAAACGTTGACAGCTATGATTCAGTTATGATTAACACCAGTCTTGAATGGCTTTGAAAGAGGACTGGACAAATTCATGGACAATACAGCTATTACCAGCTACTAGCTGTGATGCTTATGCTCGGCCTCCACAGTTGGAGGCAGTTATGCTTCTGAATACCAGGTGCAGGAAGCCCCAGAAGGGGAGAGGGCTCTTGGGCTCAGGGCCTGCTTGCCGGTTTCCCATGGGCATCTGGTTGGCCACTGTGAGAACAGGATGCTGGACTGAATGGGCCATTGGCCTGATCCAGCAGGCTCTTTTTATGTTATTAGGTTATATTCTTATGTTCTCATTTATTTTGTGCTATAATTATGTGTGCTGTTATAATAATAATAATAATAATAATAATAATAATAATAAATAAAGTAAAAAATAAAAGAAAGTAAAGTAAAAAAGAATAGATTTCAGAGCATGGCAGGCAAGGGGTTTCTAAACAAGTGCTTAAATACAGCAGATTTAATAACTCGGCAGATCTCAGATGGTAAAACTTTCCCATCATTAGGAACAGTGATAGGGAGGTGGAAATTGGAATACAGCAAGGATCCAGAATATATAAATTCCACAAGAAAACTGATCAATTTGCTTGTGATCCTTAAATATTGTGTTAAATGAATGAACAGTTCAGCGGAATGTGAAACCTGTAGCCCTCCAGATGTTGTTGACACCATCAGCCACACTTCACATGTCGATTAATTTCAATGCATGCACTGGGGATTAGATAGTTAAAGAAAATGAGAAATGGGGCCTGCTGAATCTCGTTCTTAAATTCACTGCAAGATGACCTTCGAACTGGAAGGCAACATGCCTGCACTTAATGGGAACACAACATTCCCTTGTCTTAAACTTGCAGCAGTAAGTAGCACCAGAAGGAACAGTCTGAAGGAGACACAGTACAAAATGGCAGTGAACAAGGCCTGCTCTGAGGATGTTGTAGAACTATCTCAGCACTGTTATTCCTGAGACCTTTTGTAGCCACCGCCCACCCATTATTCTGGAACTATTTAGTCTACATTCATGTGCCAAGTCCTGCAATTACATGCTATGTGATTCTAAACCTCTCTCTTCTTCTTCATGGTGACCAGATATTTGGAGGTAAATAAAGTTGTACCGGTGTTTCCATTCTCTACAGGAGAGTTGGGGATTTTTTTTTCAGCCTGAGGGCCACATTTCCTTCTGGAACCTTCTGGGGGCCACATTTGTACAGTAGGCTCATTTCAGCGCACCTGGGCACTGCTCTCTAACCTCCCCCCAGACAAGCCAGAGTTATTATCTGAGTTCAAAGACACATTCCCACCAGCCAAAAACACTCAAGGAGCGTGGCCTGGTGAGAGTCTCAAGGGCCAAAGAGAGGTGGGGTGATTCGGCCCAGAGGCCTGAGGTTTCCTACCCTTTCTCTTATATTGCAGTACTAATAGCATCACTGTTAGCTACTTGAGAGGTTGCTCAATTGTACATTTTCTTGTAGTGTTGACACTCGGGTCTTACCTGTCCTTGATGACAACTTTCTGTTGACTAGTGTGTGTGCATATGATATATGGAGTGTATGAGGTGTTAGGGGAGGGGTAGTACCTCTCATGGGAGACATGTCATGGTCTTTCTGGGATAGTCTGTCCACCTTTGGTCCTCACCCTGCATTCAGCTCTCATCTGTGGCTCCTAGAAGCTGTCAGCAAGTGACAGAGGCCACACCCCAGGGAACGGCTTCAACTGGCCAGCTAAACCAAGTGAGGGCAACTGATGGGTTTTAAACCCACAGTGAATTAAGGACTTCCCCTGCATGTGAGGACAGGCAACA